AAGGTTTATAAAGTTGTAAATATGGATATTTTTCTTACACAAATGCATCGCGTCGCTTCAGAAGGCCTTTATTAACCTGAACACAGCCATACTAGGGATGGGCGGATCAATCCTTAAGTATCAATACTTTCAATACTGATGTTGTATCGAAAGGATCGATCCTCACATAAAAATATCGATTCTAAAGTGCATTTTTTAACCATTCATTTTATTTATTTATCAAGAAATTCGGTGCATAAAAAAAGCTAAGTATATTAGCGAATAATTGTGTTGGATAGAACCATTTCTCCTGCTCATCGGAACACATGCAAATGCTGAAAGACAAAACCAATCAATCACAGACAGCATTCGCTGCTGACGCATGGCTCAGAGTGCTTGTTTAAACAGGGCTGCATTTCCCAAAAGCATCAGAAGCATAAGTAGATCTTAAGAAACCATTACCACATTATTACATTAGCCTACATAACATTGTTACTATAAATAAAATTAATTCTGAAAAATGCATCACGGTTTCCACACAAATATGAAGCAGCAATAATAATAAATGTTTCTTGAGCAGCAAATTATATTAGAATGATTTCTGAAAGTTATTTTAATTGTTATATTTCACAATACTGCTGCTTTTACTGTTTTTCTTTTTTTTTTCAAATAAGTGCAGCCTTGGTGAGCATGATGCTTAAAAACTATTACAAAATCTTACTGACCCCAAACTTTTGTGTACATGTAATTTTTATTTTAAATTGGCTAGTTTGTGCAAGTAAATTTATTTAAACCAGTTGTTAAAAGTTCAAATGGATTGTGTTATGGTCTGTAATTGCTGTTAATAAATCTGTCAGAAAAAAATATGCTAAAGTTTCACCTTTAGGGGTAAACGTGGCAACCATTGTAAGTCCGTAAAACAGCAAGTGCACATGAAGTGTTCCATTTGGGACAGGTCTAGGGCGAGCTCCGCAGCAGACTTCTACCCGACAGTCAATGCGGCATTACGTCACGAAAGTGCGGACTCAGAGGAAGACCGTGAGGGTTTAGGGTGCCATTTGGGACAGGGCACTGCAGTAACCACAAATTTACCATGGTAATAATAATAATAATACATTTTAGTACTTATGTAACACCATGTCTATTTATCATGAGGTATCCTCAAAGGTGTATTATTATAGGTGCCACTAAAGACAAAGGCCCTGTCCCAAATGGAACACTTCATGTGCACTTTCGGTCTTGCGGACTTACAATGGCCACCACGTGCGCGTGTCCGTTAAGTCCACGAGACCGTAGGGTGTCCCATTCGTCATTTTAGCATTCAAAAGGGTGCTCGCGAGCGCACCCTTTGCGGCCGCTATGTGCCCTCAATGCGCACTTCTGCCGAGCCCGCACCGGGGCGAGCTCCGCAGCAGACTTCTACCCGACAGTCAAAGCGGCATTACGTCACGAAAGTGCGGACTCAGAGGAAGGCCGCGAGGGTTTAGGGTGCCATTTGGGACAGGGCCCCGGTGCGGGCTCGGCAGAAGTGCGTATCGAGGGCGCATAACGGCCACAAAGGGGGCGCTCGCGAGCACCCTTTTGAATGCTAAAATGACGAATGGGACACCCTACGGTCTCGTGGACTTAACGGACACGCGCACGGCAGATTAGGTTCCATTTCGCGGCTTTGAGTTTTTAATACTGTCTGCCTTCAAGAATGTCCCGCTCTTTACTATCTCATTCATTCACATTCCTTTATTAATAATGCTAACAGTCCCACCCACTGAAAGCTGAGCGGAAAAAGTGAAAGTAACCGGCTAAATGTTTCATACTGGCTCTTGGCACAGGAGAACACCATCTTCTATAAAACAAGGTATATGTTTCAGTCCTGTCACTTTTTTTTTTTTTTTTTTTTTATTCTTTTTTCCTTTCGCGGAGCTCGCCCTAGACCTGTCCCAAATGGAACACTTCATGTGCACTTGCTGTTTTACGGACTTACAATGGTTGCCACGTGCGCGTGTCCGTTAAGTCCACGAGACCGTAGGGTGTCCCATTCGTCATTTTAGCATTCAAAAGGGTGCTCGCGAGCGCCCCCTTTGTGGCCGTTATGCGCCCTCGATACGCACTTCTGCCGAGCCCGCACCGGGGCCCTGTCCCAAATGGCACCCTAAACCCTCGCGGCCTTCCTCTGAGTCCGCACTTTCGTGACGTAATGCCGCTTTGACTGTCGGGTAGAAGAAGTCTGTTGCGGAGCTCGCCCCGGTGTGGGCTCGGCAGAAGTGTGGATCGAGGACGCATAACGGCCACAAAGGGGGCGCTCGCGAGCACCCTTCTGAACGCTAAAATGACAAATGGGACACCCTACGGTACCACAAACAAGCTACGTAGCAGCTTGAATCTGAGTTTATTAGCTCTACGTTATCAGTTTGCTGTCGTGACTCTTACGAACAGCACTGAACGCGCACTTTTCGGTACAAAAAAATTTATTATTATTTTAAACATTTTATCAGCTTATGTAGTCTCTACAACCAATGAATTGCTGATCTCTAGTGATGTATAATTTTTGTAATAGATCATTTGTTGGTAAAGGGTGAGAGATCTGGCGAGCCACATGATTTTTGTCAAAGAGCCAGGTGTGTCTCGCGAGCCATAGGTTCCCGACCCCTGCTCTATAACATATAATATATTTTTTTACATTTTTGATGCTGTCCAGAATAGATCAAACATCAAATACTTCAGAGAAAAATGTAAAATTATGATATTACTTGTTTCTTTAATCCTAGTTCCAGTCAAATATTTATAATCATTATATTCATAGGATTCATTATATTCATTCATTTACTTTATCAACATTTTGTAACAGGCTAAAAGGTCTTCTTATTCAGGGTCATTCACACAAAAAGATGCAGTATATATATGCAGTATTTTAACAAACTATCATTTCAAAATTTAAGAACTTTTAATAATAATAATTGATATAATAATTTTAATAATTAATAATTTAAGAAAAAATAAGAGCCAAACAAACAAACAAAAGGCCCAGCAAGGGCTAATATTACTGTCATTAACTTAATGAACAGTTTAGAATATTTTTTGTGTGCTTATTGAGGTAGGTATGTCTCCAGGTGCCACACTGAGATATTTGCGATGCATTGTGCACACATGAAGCAGAAAAGGTTAACAGCTCATTGCTCTCTCAGCTGCTGGTCCTCCATCAGTGCTGAGCTGTACTGTATGTTGTCATACTACTGAACGCACAAGATTACTCAAAATACACATGTGGCCAAAGACATGGAGCCCTGTAGCTTTGTGTGGAAGTCAGCTTTTGTGTTTACGTGTTTCCATAATGTCTGGTGTGATTTTTTTTTAACAATTCAGCGAATCTGACAAATCACTGTGCATTTTGAAGGTTTACAATGTGGCCTTGATTCAACATGCACATCTCCTCCAGGTAAATCTAGTTTTTTAATTATATGGTACTAAGCACGTGCTTCATTTACTATGCAAATGCAGTTTGCACTGAAGCCTCAGTACAAATAATGTCCAGATTAGAGTCCCTTAAATTATCAGTGCTTACCAAACACTCCAGCAGACGAGCGGGTCGGGCGATGATTATCATCAGCATTTTAATCAGCTGGGTGACAAATGTCACCTCCCCACTTTCTGAACGCTCATGAGCCTAGTAACAAACAGAGAAAACAATAGATTTGAAATAGCATACAAACATACTAATCACAGTATTCAGTATGTATCTGTGTACTTTATGAATTGAATACCTTAATGATCTATCTACATTTGTCAAAATAAGCATAATACAAATTAAAGCAAACTGGGTGGAATATTGTATCCTAAATGTAATGTTCTTAACTTGACCTTCCACTTTCACAGTGACGAATGAGCAAGAAGCTGATATCAGAAGCAATATCAGTCGAGATTTTTGACACTCAAAGCACTACAATGAGGGATACTGGGATAGTTAAATGAAGTGTACAAAAAGAGTACATAAAAAGGAAGAGTGTAAAAGGAGCAGACAGGAGAGAGTTCATCAATAGAATAGAGAAGAGCCGTTCAGAGTAGATGGTTGGCTGACAGTAATAGAGCCATCTCTGACAGACAGCACAGCCACCTCAGGGGATGTCTAATCAGCCTCTGAATTATTTATACAGGTAATGAAACTGCCAGTGAATCGCACACATTCAGGATAATAAAGGGCCTCTACACTGAGTAAATACACTGTAGACAGACAAGTAACAGCAGTGAGAGATATAGGATGAGGGAGTGATTTGGTTTAGCACACCTAAAACTAGATGAAATGAGATACTCTATACTCAGCTATACATAAGGTCAATAAGGTCAAGCGTACATAAGGTCATTAGAAGATCCTCAGGATTCCTCTAGGGCCAGACGTCATGGCCTTGAGATTGGCTCCTGTGGTTTTTAATGATGCAACCATGGGAGACTGAATGATATAGACTGATCATTTAAAAAGGTAAAACTAGTCTGACCTTAAGACAAATGTCCAATTTAATAAATAAAGCCTATAAACGAGGACAAAGAAAAATGCAGGTCAATAGCGAAAGACCTTATAGAAAAAAACAAAAAGACAAAAAAAAAAAAAAGAGAAGATGAATGGAACTGTGCAAGATATACCTGTACCATATATCAGTTATGAGCCAATAGTAGTGATTTTGTTTTAATTTATTAGTATTGGTCAATATTAAATATATATTGTCAGACATTTAACTGTACATTTTATATATATTTTAAATTATTATTATTATTAGTTTCAATACAAAATAGTGTAGAATTATAATCACTGTCATATAATCAAAATTTGTATTATATTGTTGGTATCACTCAGAATGTTAAGAACAGTGCATCCCTTATATTATGGACTAAATTCTGTTTTAGGTGTCATATACTATACTCTGACAAATATTTAAAAAACTTTCTACAATTCACTATTTGATTAAAGTAAACAATAGCAGGTGAATTATCAGGCATAAAAATATTCTAGTTACAGTCCATATTTTGAGTGTTAAATTGTCATAACACTGGTGTGTCCACAATTTAACAACATAAAACAGCATCTATCAGACTATGACCTTGACTCAATGCAACTCTGCAAAGTAAAAACAATCAGGAACTCAACTGTTAGATCCACATGGTTTCTGAGCGTGCTCTGCTCCCAGCGCTCTAAAATCTGCTGAAGAACCTCCTCTTCCTCCAGCCGCCTCTGCCACGAAACGCAGGACATCCTCTGAGCGAGTGAGGAAGCGTTAAATGGAGAAGTCAGGAATGCTTTTCTGAGCACACCTGCTGAAGATGCGGTTTATACCACGATCCCTGTCTGGCCCACCTGTCACCATCGGCTCCCAAACTAAATCAGCCAATTAGCACGGGCTGAATGATGTCATCCATACTCGCCTGAATGCCAAGTATGGATGCGGCAATAGTTCGGCGAATGCATGAGATCACAATGTGCACATTTTCGATTCTGGCAGGCAACAGCAACGAGATGGTTATGGACTACCAACCGAAAGAGGGTAAAACCTGACCTGATCCCTCCTTCCATTCTCACTCCCTCCCTTTCTCTCTCTCCCTGCACCCTCCTCTTGGGTGCCTGGGATACTCATCCGTCACCAGTGGTGGTTACTGGAGTGTGAAATTAAAATCAGGAAGGTGCTGCACCTGATTTCCTGAATGGGGGGGGGGTTGTTTATGACAGCCCAGCTGTCCAGAGATGACCTCTTCCCCGATGTGATGACATCACCACTTTGGCTGACATGGATTTATGTTTAGGGATCCACAAGAAAGACCTTGCATGACAAGGAGTTAATACCCTTGAAATAAATGCCGACAACTTCCTACATACTCTCCACATGTGGCTATCTTTGCATACTCACATCTTGGTGTAGCTTCTCAAAGTTCTCCTGTAGTTCGTAGAAGTAGCGGGAGGTAATGAGACCCTCACGGGATTTGTCCAGGCAGTCCCGAGACAATTCTATGACCTGGTGGTGGATGAAGCTCAGGACGCCATCAGCTAAAGGCATGACTTTGTCAGGAGCTGAGGAGGATATGAAATCAGCCAGCCGTTCCTCCATCTGAGCAGTAGCCTGTGGGACAGAAGGGTCCTGGTAAGGGCTGGGTTGAAACAAAGGCCAAGCCATGGAGAAAGAGAGGTATCCAGCCATCCACAATGTGTTACTGTACATTTATTCAAACACACATTTTATTTATTTATTTAATTTATTATTATTATTATTTTTTTTTTTTTACAAAATTTTCAAACTATTATATTTAAAAAAATAAAGCAAGTCTGATTTCTTTTTATATTATGCATACAGGCAATGATAAAAAAAGAAACAGATATTATTTTGTTTTACAGATATCAAGCAACGAGTTATTTATTTATCATTTCTATTATTTATTGTCTGTAACATTGATGCTAATTAGTGTCTTGCCGTTTTTATTTATTTTAATTAATGTTAAACATTGTGTTTATTTATTTTTATTTTTAATGTATATTTTATTTAATTATTTATAATTATTGTTACTATTATTATTGTTTATAAATTTATATTATATACAGTTATTATTCTATTAACATTCTGGCACCTTATTTTTATTAATAAAAATGAATAATAAAAATTAATAATAAAAAATTGCTCTAGCAATGCCATGTCAAAAAAGTACTTTATTGTGTGAAAATGAGACTTATCCAGTGTCCTTGAGTTGTGCAAGTTCATCAGTTTTAGACCTCACCTTAGGGAAACGCTCCTTGTAGACATGGTTCATCATGACGATCTCATGGTCAAATGATATGGGTGAGCGTCCAGGGCTGAAGACGAGAATAAAGAAACAAAAATAAGTGAAGAAAGAAATAAAAAATGGGACTTAGACATTCATCTTTTTTTAACCAATCATATGTTTTCAACCCCAATGTCCCTCTTCCTTCAAGCAGATGTTGCTTGGTGGCCTATACCTATAATCTAATGTGGATGACAGACTGGAGCACTTGTATTTTCAGACATATCCATTCATGTCAAAGTAGCATCTTCAATCAGAAACGCTCCACAGGGAATACTGAGAGATACAGCTTGTGTAGATAAGCGAGTATGTGTGCGTTTCAGTCAGGGACACAGATTACAGATGCAGCTGGGATCGCATGAGTCACTCCTGTTAGTAAAGGTAAGCAGGTCATGTAACCTCAAGGATGAGGTAATGCTGTAAGTCATCAATCGAAGGCTTGCGCTCCCTATTAGACCTCCTGATTGAATGAAAACATACTAACCATAGCACATTTGATCAACCTCCAGGGTGCTGTTGAGAAATGCGCCAACACACACACTTACACACTAAATTGGCTCATTTACAGCTATGTCAGTAACAATAAGAGACGGGAGAAATATTCTAGTCAAATCTTCAACTTACTTGAGAGCCATTTCAATCAAAAATTACGATCCGGCCACGGCTAGCCACGGCCAAAGGTTAACTCTGACAGAGATTGATTTGCAGCTGAAGGGAGCTGCATTAACAATCACACTAAGAAAATGTCTCCTGCTGAGTGAGGTAGAGAGAAAAGACAAGGGAAAATGAATGAAAGAAAATGCCTTAGAGCAATCCTCTTATTAAATAAAGAATTTAGTGTGTGCAAAGAATCAAAGTGAACTTCCTGCGGCGCAATAACATTCTGCATTTAGACAGATGATAATTAGTGAATGCAATTATTTTTCTCTGATGGACGCAGATATGTCCTTGCAGCCCCAAAAATAATCATGTTTTTGAGAAATGACCTTGTAAAAAGATTCTCATTATCGTTTTAAATCAAATGGATTTAACTGAAATAGATGTACTGTATATGTTCTGTGCAGGAACATACCGGATATAACAGAGGAAAGGACAGCTATTCTTAATGTTAAGGGGCAAAAGAATAAAGAGTGTTCACATATGTTAGAAAGTATAAAAAGAGAAATAGAAGTACAAAAGGAGCGGAACAATATTTGAACAAATTCCCAACTCTAAGTATGAAACTTTGACATACCTACATAATCTGTTACAGCTTTTTAATGGTAGCATGTTCTTACTTTTCCAAGGAATTTAGATTTTTGTGTCCGAATATGCCCATGCCCTAATATATTGTACACAAAAAGCAGTCTATAAAATGTCAAATGTAGTATGTCTGAATATTCAGCATTCTCAAAACTGGAAGCGGACAACATCCGAATCACCTACTACTTCCATAAAGATTCTGAAGTGCAAAATGCACTTCCATGTCAGTAAATTTTTTTTGAAAGAAGTCTGTCACACTCACCAAGGCTGCAAGTCTTTGATAAAAAATATCTTCTTTTATCTTCTAATATATCTTTTGTAACACGGTAGTGCATTATGTCTGTATTGTATTCATACATACACATACGCATACATACAGAGTAGGGCTGGACGATATGGCCTAAATTTATATCACGATATATTTCTTAATTTCGGTCGATACGATATAATTCCGATATCGATATGAACACTATTAAAAAAGCCTCATAAAAACGGCCAAGAACGGCCACAACAGATGTCTGTGCATACAAACTTATGAAAAATTAATTTGCCAACTCTATGAAACCTACTCCTATAAAACTATATAATATTTTAGGAAAAAAATGGCGCAAATAAATAAATGTTCACCTTTTATTGGTATTTAGCCTTCATACAAACAAGAAATGTGAAATCACTGTCAAATAAATCTCAGACTCTCCTTATTAATATTAATATTAATATTTTTTACTTCAAACTATAGGCATACTTACTAACATACCAGTCAAAAGTTTTTGAACAGTAAGATTTTTAATGTTTTTTAAAGAATTCTCTTCTGCTCACCAAGCCTGCATTTATTTGATCCAAAATACAGCAAAAACAGTAACATTTTGAAATATTTTTACTATTTAAAATAACTGTTTTCTATTTGAAAATATAATTTATTCCTGTGATTTCAAAGCAGAGCTTTAGCATCATTACTCCAGTCACATGATCCTTCAGAAATCATTCTAATATTCTGATTTGCTGCTCAAAAA